GTTCAAAAAGGGTTTTGAATAGAAAAATGGAGTCGCCACTTGGTATAGAGTTAGGGTGTACCAAATCACCCAAAAATGATTTTTGTTTTTTGAATGAAAAAAGTAAACAAACCCCTTTTTAAAAACTTTTAGGTCTACGTAACCAAAGTAAGGGATCGGGGGTCACATTTGGTAAGGGAGAAGGCAAAGGCGGAGCCTAAGGCACTCCCTTACCCTAGCCAAAGCTAGTTACGTGAATTAGCTCCACTTTTCCTAATTATTCTACCCAAGGTATGTATCGCGTGTTGGATATGACTATATGAATGCAAAAACCTAGACCTAGGGAGATATGGGGGAAATTTCTCTTCAAAGGTTGAGTGGTGCCAATCACATTAATTGTGAAGCCCAATAATGATCCTTTGGAGAGGTCACACATAATTCTAAATGACGTAAAAATGAGTGGAATGCATGCTATGTAAAAATGTGAGTTTGTATGAAGTGAGAAAAGCAATAAAAATAATAGGATGTAAGTGGAGGTGTGCAATTGTATTTACAAGGTAAGGTGAGTAAAGAATGATGATGTGAAAATAACATAAAGTGCATGTGTGCGAGTGACATGGTATAAAGTGTGAGTAGTTAAATGAAAACGTCCAAAAGTAGTGTGAAGTGAGAATGTGGAAAAAGGGATAGAATATAAAGTAGAAGTGTATAGGATAGTGAATAAATGAAATGCATGAACCCTAGAGGAATGCAAGCAAAACGGGTACGGGGAGTCCTAACTTTGTGACTTTAACTTTCCCTTTAATTAGAAGGGAGAACTAGCGTGCTAAGGCTATTTTGTAGCCACACTCGCTCGTTTCCCTTATCGAAAGGGGACTCTTCAAGCAAATGTACCCTATAACTAGCATGAGGTGCAAAAAGCCTAAAATGAGGGGAAAAGGATTGGAGGAGCATGCCAAATGATAAAACTAAGAAAAATGCATGAAATGTAGTGAACATGCAAGTATGCACTAGTGAAAGGGGGATGGCCTATTGGGTCTAGCATTGGACTAGCCCTTTCTATAAATGAGCCACAACTAGCATTGGACTAGTGTGGTGACGTACATTCATCCATCACATTCATCCACGACTATAGAAAGCAAGTAGACATGCCAAACACTCATAAACACATAGCACGTAACACTTAGCATGCTCGACTAGGCGCAAGAGCCTAATAAAGCAAATTAACACATAGCAACAAAGGCAAACAACCAAACTAATAAACCTATTACATTTGCTAGCTAGGCACACGTCTTCAATAGGTCTTCATCAAATGCTCCTCCAAACCCTATCTATTACAAGCCAAGAGGTGTACACATACCCCATAAAAAAATAACTTAATAAAAGCAAACGTAAATGAAATGAATGAAAGGAATTAAAGAAAAACAAGGGAAGCAAGTAGACATGCAATTCTCACGTAGCACGTTGGATCACGTAGGAGAGACAAAAAGGGATAAAAGAAATTATACCGCCCCCTTTTGTGGTGCTAATAAGGTGGACAACACTTAACTTGAGCTATAGTCACCAAAGAAAAGGATGACTTGGGCTAAAACCATCAAAACAAAAGATTAATGCGCCAATTTAATGGTAAAATGTAAATAAGACAATCGGAATCCATCAAACATCGAATCCTTCCTCACTTGCAACTTAAAAATAATCAAGTAATGCATAATTTCCAAGCAAAAGTGAAACCTTCATCAAATTTCTGAAATAGCCAAAAGGCTAAAGACCCAATAGCAACCATTAATCAATCAACCCAAAGCCAATTGAAACGTTTTAAAAACTTTAAAGGTCCAAGAGCAAGAAAAGGTCAAGTAGCCAATTTATTTAGGGAAATTAAAGAAAATAGGAAAAACACAAGCTCATTTAGACTCAAAGTTCACTAATTCATGCATTAAATACAACCTAACAAAACATGGTAATTAATGAAAGCAAACAAACAATCAAGTTGAAAAATTGAAGCTACCAAGGACTCAAATGCGAACATTAGCCAAGCACTCAAGCCTAATTAAATATTTTTAAGAGTTTCAAGGGTCCAAGGGCAAAGAAAAAGTCAAGTAAAGGTTAAAATGCAACTACTTTAGGACCCGATTGCAAGAATTTAGAACATTATTGGGTCTTTATAGAACAAAGGGGGACTTGAGGGGTCAAAGTGCAAATTTCAAAAGCATTTTCATGCATGCAGCGAGAGCTGAAGCTTTCATTACTTCTGCAATTTTCCTGCTGCAATTTTGCAGCTTGTGATCAAACCAGAGAAGTGGCAAAATTTACCAACAAGAAAAAATCCCAAACCTCATCAAATGCTCTACAACCATGATTGGCACAAGATTCGGCATGCAAACAAGGTAAGAAAATCCAGCTTGTGGATTGTTACAGAAATCAAAGACATGAAAGCTAAAGCAGCTTCATGCGACTTTCGGCAATCAGAAATCTGTTTTTTAACAAGCTTTCGATCATAGCTCAAGTATTTTTAGACCCAAACACACAAACCCAACACCAAATCATTCCATTTCTTCCCTTTAACAATATTAAGCATGCAACTTGAGTGAGAAAATTCATTGAGCAGACACGGAAAACCCAAGCAACAAAAAACATGAAAGACACACGGGAAAATGCAGCTGACTACGGATGAAACCAGCGGTGGTATCATCAAGACCCAAAGAAAATTTTTAGCTTCCTCACTCAAACCAGCAAACATCAGACCTTTTCCAATATCAGATCAACCAGCAAATTGGATGACCAAAACTCAGTGAGCCGTGGTAGAAAAGAAAACAGCAAAGAGAAATGCAGGAACTTTCTGTTTTGCGGCAAAAAAAAATGCAGCTCAGCCCATTCGTTTATATTCTTATGAAACCCGAACCGAATCTATCATTTTGCAGCCTAAACAACGTAATCCTCAACCCCTTATTCTTTACAGAAACCAAACAGATTGAAAACAAAATCTGAAACCCAAAACGCAAGCATCTTAAAAACAAAACAAATTAGAAAGTCATGCAATTCTGATAAAGGGAAAGAAAAATCTACAATTTTGCTGGGCTTGCTTGTCATGAACATCAGCCATGAAAACCAAACAAAGGCATCTTAAATTCATGATAAAAAAAACACCACCGAGGACTCCCAAACTATTGTCCATGCGTTCATCAACCATAAATCAAACATTAACGACATAAAAATCCAATCTTGGCGTAAGTTTATGACTGAAGTACCTTGGTGCAGATTTGCCGAAGGCGATGGAGAAGAAAGAAAATGAAAGCCTCGGTCTCTACCTCAGCTCCTGTAATTTCCCTTGCTGGCTTTCTCTTTAGTTTCCCGTTGATAAGATTCCTCCTCTGCTTCTCGTCTTCCTCCTTCGCTGCTGTTGATTCGTTCCTCTGTCGTCACTGGAATGCTCTGTTTCCTTGCCCGATCGTTCTCTCTCTCTCTGTTTTCGGCTCGCCTCCAAACCACCCCTCAAACTCAGCCGTCAAACTTCCTAACCCTCTCTCTCTCTCACTTCCCTTTCAACCAGAAAAACTCTCGCTCACTCTCGGCCCTCTCCTATTCTCGGTTTTCTCTCTCAGAAACCTATCTAGCCGTCATTCACTGCTCTGCTCTTTCTATTCAACTCTCTGTAATCTCTCTTAGTTTTGCAGCCGTCCCCAAGAAAAATCCTCCTCGTATCCTCTCCCTTTTTCTTCTCTACTCCCTCGATTTTTCTTCTAGCTATCCCTTAACCCAGCCGTCATCAGTCCCCCCTCCCTCTTGCTGCGTCTTTCTTTTCTATTTATACCCAACACCTACTCTCAAACCCTCACCTGAAAGGTGAGGATGAGAGTGGAGGTTTTTCGGGGCCTCCTAGGGCCCTCCGATGGGCATGCATTTGCCGCATGCATGTTTTTGAGGGTTTTTTTTAACTAATAACTTAATACTAATAAAAAAAACCACAATTTAAGTAATATTGGACAAAAATAAACAAACTAAAAACAACAAATTTGCAATTTTCATTTTTCTTTTCTTTTCTTTTTCTTTTTTTTTCTTTTGATTCATATTTTTCCAAGAAAACATTGAATTTAAACCAAAACAACTAAAACATAATTTTTTGAATGCTTTTTCTTTTTCTTGAGAAATTCTATGCTAAAAACTTACAAATAAAAATAATAAAAATAAAAACTAAAAAAAACTAAAAAATGAAATAAAACTTAACACGACAAATTAAGACAAAATAGTAAATGTAAATTACACTAAAATTTTGGTGTCTACAGTACTGATGTAGAATAGAAGACCATTAGCCTATATCAGTCAAGGGTTAGGGCCAAGGAATATGAGACTATCTATCTATGAGAAAAAGCTACTGGCTCTGGTTACAGCAGTCTCCAAGTGGAGGCATTACCTGGAGGGTCAGCACTTCATCATTAACACTGATCATCAGAGCTTGTAGTACCTGTTGAAGCAAAGGATTACCACCCACCTACAACAGAAATGGTTAACTAAGCTCATGGGGCTGAGCTATGAGATCCACTACAGGAAAGGTAAGGAGAATGTGGTAGCAGATGCCTTATTCAGGAGAGGTGATCCAGGCTTGGTGTGTACTGCAATAACCACCACAGTACTAGAATGGATCAAAGAGGTGATTAGCAGCTACCAAGGGGATGACTGGGCACAGAACAACATTAGAGAAGTGCTATTGAAACCATACCAAATTCCAACCTCAGATACCAAAATGGTGTATTGAAGTTCAAGGGGAAAGTGGCTGTGGGATCTGGAGGAGAGATAAGGAAGAAGCTGATCAGCACACTGCATGACTCACAGTTGGGGGGCATTCTGGCATACAAGCAAGCTTCATGAGAGCCAAGCAATTATTCTACTGGCCAGGCATGTACAAAGACATTAAGACAGCAATATTGAAGTGTGATGTCTATAAGAAATGCAAGGATGAGCATGTGTCCTATCCAGGGCTCCTGCAACCCCTACCAGTTCCACAGAACCCCTAGAGCCATGTCACTATGGATTTAATTGAGGGATTGCCTAATTCTAAAGGGAAGGATACTATTATGGTAGTAGTGGACAGGTATACAAAGTATGGTCACTTCCTGAGCATCTCACATCCTTTTGATGCCCCAAAGATTGCAAAAATATTCCTGGATGGAGTAGTCATGTTACATGAAGTACCCCAGAGTATGCTATCAGACAGGGATAGGATCTTCACCAGTCAATTCTGGAGTGAACTGTTTACACTGTTGGGAGCTAAGCTGGACCTCAGTACAGCTTACCTCCACAGCCTGATGGCCAGACTGAAAAAGTAAATCAGGTACTAGAGATGTACCTCAGATGCTTTTCACATTTAGAACCAAAGAAATGGAATTATTGGTTGACCATGGCAGAGTGGTGGTATAACACCAATTACCACACAGCCATCCAAACGACCCCCTTTGAGGCTTTATATGGGCAGGCACCCCCAACTAGCTCTAAGACCATACACTCAGGCCAAGGTAGCTATAGTTGGGGACTACTTGAGGGAAAGGCATAAGGTTGACACTACACTGAAACAAAATCTGAAGCTGGCTCAAGAGAGAATGAAAAAGTATGCTGATGAGAGGAGAAGTGAGAGAAAGTTTGAAGTTGGAGATTGGGTATATTTGAGATTACAGCCTTACAGGCAAAGTTCAATGGCTATAAGGGGCAACACTAAGTTATTAGCTCGTTACTATGGACCTTATGAGGTGATAGAGAAGGTTAGGGAGGTTGCATACAGGTTGCAGTTACTAATTGGTTCCAAGATCCATCCTGTTTTAGATGTCTCTCTACTAAAGAAGAAGGTTGGGGACCAGATTACACCTGTTTTGCAGCTACCAGAGGTTGATGGAAGGGGGCACTTAAGGGTCGAACCAGTTGCAGTGTTAGACAGAAGAATTGTTAAGAAAATGAATGCAGCTGCAGTGCAATGGCTAATTCATTGGTGGGGAACAGATCCAGCAGAGGCAACATGGGAATTTGTAAAAGAAATTGAGAAGCAGTTCCCTCAGTTCCAATCTTGAGGACAAGATTTTTTAAAAGGGAGAGGCTTTGTCATGGAGTGTAAAGGAATTGCAGGAAGATCTTCCAGTCCAGCTTGAAGAAAGAAGAAGGCGTGTTCTAGATTACAAAGAAGGCGTGGTCGACCAGCTTAAAGGAAGGAGAAGGCGCGTCTTAAAAACCACGCCTTTTCTTAGCACAACAGAATCATGCTTCTGTTATGAGCAAGTGGAGTTGATTATTCTAGAATCCCACGTGTCCTTACCTTATTGGCTTGTTTAGAAGTTAGTTAGTCCGGAAATGGCCATAAAAGGCTGATAAGATCCTAGTGATAGCTAAGTTTTGTCATTTTTTCCAATTGGTTCTAAAAGGAGATTTGGCTCGGCCAATCTCCCTCCTTTCCCTTTCACATTTTCCTTCATTCTTTCCCCTTCACTCTGAATCCTTTGTTTCTATTTATGTGATTGATTATTCAAGTTATTAATGAGAAGCTGAGTTCATTACTTTCCCCATTTTCCTGTTCCATTCAATTTTTTGTTAGCACTAGTTTACTGCTGCTGAACATAATCTGTCACCATTGCTGAAATCTGGTTCTATACCATAACAAGAATTTAGAAAAATGAATAACAAGGAAAAAAAAGGATGGTTTGTGTTCGTTCTCATCTAAGCCAAGGAAATAAGGTCATTGGTTCTCTGATTGATTTCATGCAATAGTTCATATGCATGTTTCTATATATCTTACATATATAAAACGCGAATCGCTTGTGAACAGTGCCTGATGGTCCAGTTATCCTGTGATTGTTGTGAGCTTGAGGGGTTTTTGGGTCTTTTGGCATTGGGTGGCAGTGGTTTTGCTGGAAATTCACTGCTGTCCGCATGGGATTCTTGGATGGGAGCAATTTTGGCAGTCAGCAATTTCGGCCTTGTTTCCTCTCATTCTTTTCTTGGCTTTCTTTACCAGGTGTCCAAGCAATTTAGACAGTGAGTTCAGAGTTTAGACGTGTATTTGTATCTTCATTGTATAATTGTAGTTGCTTCAGCTCCCCTGGTGAGTGGGCGGTGGGTGGTGTCCAAAGCGGTATGTGGGAGCTATACAAAGGTCTCTTGCCTATGTAATCTTGAGAGAAAGCCATCTGAAAAACAACATATTGGATGTGTTTCTTTCTCCAATTGAAGACCTGGATTTGGCGGTATTGCATGGTGAAGTCTTCACACTCTCACCTAGCTGATCTTGTGAGCAAGCCATCTCAAAAGCAATTTCTTCTTCCAATTAAAAGCTTCAGGTTCCATAATTTTGCGAGGTGAACTCTTTGATTTATTTCTGCCTGTTGACCATTTTTCCCTTATAATAAGAGGCCTAATGAGTCAGAATGTTTGTTCAAATCATTGCAATGGTTCACCAAAGGGCGTTAAAAATTTTAGAGATATTTTATAGGTTTCAACTGTGGTGAAATAGGAGCCATTGTTAGACTTGCTATGGACATCTCGCCGCATGATTATGGTTTTTCTGGTGATCAGTTTTTATGTTTTGTCCCACTTGAAAGAATTTGCAGAACAATTGAGTGCATATGATGTATATACAGGGATTTGTCTAATGCATTGATTACGCATTTTAAGTTTGGTTTTGGCCTCAATAAAAGGCCTATTTGTCCGTCAAATTTCTTTCATTTAATATGAATGTGTATCGTCTTTGTTGGGTATATTTAGTTACACCAAGTGATGTCATCCTGTATTTTACAAAATTGTATTTGTTAGCTATACTCGTTTAACCTAGCACAAGTTAATCACTTCTACGGCATGGTGAAAGTAGAGATTGAAGGTAAAACGACAAGAGATCCCATCCAATTAATGATCTTTTTCTTGGTTGATTAGGTAATTGTAAAAAGAATGGTTTGTGCTCGCTCTCATCTAAGCCAAGGAAACAAGGTCATTGGTTCTCTGACTGATTTCATGCAATAGTTCATATGCATGTTTCTATATATCTTACATATATAAAATGCGAATCGCTTGTGAACAGTGCCTAATGGTCTGGTTATCCTGTGATTGTTGTGAGCTTGAGGGGTTTTTGGGTCTTTTGGCATTGGGTGGTAGTGGTTTTACTGGAAATTCACTGCTGTCCATGTGGGATTCTTGGATGGGAGCAATTTTGGCAGTCAGCAATTTCGGCCTTGTTTCCTCTCATTCTTTTTTTGGCTTTCTTTACCAAGTGTCCTAGCAATTTAGGCAGTGAGTTTAGAGTTCAAACATGTATTTGTATCTTCATTGTATAATTGTAATCTCTTCAGCTTCCCTGGTGAGTGGGCGGTGAAGAGATCATTAGTAGTCCAAGTCCAGTAGGTACAAAAATCTCTTTAGCTTCATAAATAAATTGAGTAAATGAATAACGACAATAACCAATTTACCTAAAGTCAAATTTCCCATAGTTACTAGCACCCATCATGTATTTAATATATAACCATTTTATATTAATTCACTTGCCTTCATTTGATCTTGTTTAACATAGACCCAGGGCATCCTCACGCATCGCGTGAGGCTGAAAAAAACTAGTAAATATATAAAGTGACCATGACAACGCCTCTTGTTAGGCATTGCTTGAGAAGCCAATTAAGGGTAGTTGCTCATGCGTGCGAAGTTTAAACTTTAATTATTATCAAGTTTTAAATATAATTCAAATTTTCATTACAGTAAATGCATAGGTCATACACGAGTATAAGGAATATTTGAGTGTCGATCCTACAAGGAAAATTATCATTTACTAGCATGATTCGAACTTCTCTATTATTTAGACTATCATAAATAAAGGAATTAAATCCAAACTATGGATGTGCAACAAAGGTAGTAAAAATAATAAGAAAATGTGCCATGGTTATGAAATTCCTATCTATTCTTGCAAGTGAAAATTACCAGTTAAATGAGTGTTATTACTTGGATAAGTCATGGCATAATTTTCTAATGCACATTATACTCACTTTTGCTAATGTACTAACCATACCTATAACTAATCCCCGCCTACATTTTGTGATGGTGGAGCGAGTTATAAATTCATTTGATTATATGAAATTACTTGGTTAAACTCACAAAGGTGTTTTCCTACTTTCATGAGAATATTTCCTAAATTTAACACTTTTATGAACTAGTATTAGATCACAACTTTTATTGATAAAATAATACCTTTAAATAATCAAAATTAGTGGCCAATTAATCATGATTATAATAGTAAAAGTGCTAAATAACGTGTTCAAAATTTGAACATCTAATTGCTAAGAAAACTTCAGATAACAAGCATAGCAAGTTCATCCACACCTCTTAGGTGTAAACTAACAAAACATAAAAGCAAATACCAAACTTGTACTATTACTAAATATGATATTCAGATCCAAGAAGTAAAGAGTTGAAGAGATTAAACCCTCTGTCACTTGTGAGCATCAATCTCTTCACCTTTAATCCTCGATCTTCATCTATGTTTAGCTATTATAAGAATGGATGAAAACTATACTAATTCTACACTAAACTAATGAACTAAGAAGTTCTAGTGAAAGACTACATTTTGTGTAGTGTTTTCCTAGCCTCCTTAGTTATGAAAACGCGTCTTCAAGACCCCTATTGGCAAGTATGTATTTACGTGTTTTTAGGGTATTTTATTATTTGGTTTTGGGGTGTTTTAGTCATTTTTATAACTAATTAACTAAGTTTCTAGTGAATTATGCATTTTGTGGTTTAAGTGTTAAAAATTGCATTTCTATACATTCAAATGGTGAAAACTTCATGTTTTTGTAGGTTTAATGATTCAATCATCAAATAAAATGAATTGAGAATATATTTGGAAGATTATTGATGATTTGAAGTGATTTGAAGTTAATATGATGTGCAAAATGTTCAAAGTGTGAAATGCAATCAAGCATCAAAGAAGAGAAGTTTGATAGCTTTAACACCTTTTCATATTTCGGTGATATCTTGAGTTATAAGTATTGGATTGAGGTGATTCTTAAGTCATTTTGAAGTTAAGATATAGCTCTATATTTTCTATAAGACATCAAAGTCTACTTCATTAGTTTTCCTGGTCAAAAAGTTGAAATGCAGTCATGCATTTTTTCTATCGAAAGTTGAAATAAAAGATTGACCAATCAAGGATATTTTGATCATTTCTATATCTACAGACATCTAAATGAGATGATTCTTGATATATTGGAAAGCTAATTCAAAGCGATACTGTGAGGACCCGAAAAATTTCTTATTTTATCGAATATTAATGGTTTAATTAAGTATTTATCCACCTATTTTTTCCAAATAATTTATTACGACCATTTTAAATCCATTCGTATGGAATAATGTCGTCATTATGCTTTTAAAACGTCCCGTTAACAACTTCAATTTTCGGAGGATTGTTTAAGTGAGAAATAATGAACACGAGTGTTTCAAGGTGATATTGTATTCGAGAGTATGATTATCCTGGGGAAATTAAGAACGGACAATAGCAGATTAAGAAAAGTTAATCGAGAATTAAAGGTGAATAAGTTCTAAGTGAGCATATACTACTCACGCGTGGATAGATTTCCAAAAGACGCATGGATACAAATTTATTGGAGATTTGAGGAGTTAATACTCGACTCATGTGGGGACTCGTAAAACTCCTATTAAAACCCTAATTTGAGCTTATTTAATTATTTACTTGTTCATTTATTCTGAGTATTATTTTCTAGACCTATTGAACCTAATTACGTGGAAATATAGCTTCGTTATATTTTTTTAAAGTGACTTGTTTCAAGAATTAATTTCCGGGAGCGCGTTTAGTGAGAACAGTGAATAGTGCTTGGAGATTTTATCCGCGTAGGAGCACAATAAGCTTGGAATATTGGAGACTTGTACTATGGTCCTAAAATAGGTAATCTTATGAATAAATACTTAAGTGATAGTTAGTAGTGCAGTCGTTATAAGAATTTCTCGAAAGTTTCGCGTTATAGCGTTAAAATTGACGGTACGCGTTTTCACACGCGCGACTTTATTTGAGGGACCTTAGACCCTT